CATGAAAATTCTTAATGGAGTACCATCATTTTTTATTGAATTCCTAAAAACCAATATTTATAATGAATTTTAATAATTTTTTCGGATTTTTTTGAAGCTTTATTATGACCGATTCACCCGATTTCGATCCGGATCGCCGATTCGCAGATCCGGATCGGTTTTTGAAAAGCCCGATCCGGGTCACCGATCCGATTTTTAAACCATTGGTTTAAAGCCTCAGCCCTACATAAGCTTTTCCCTTAAAAATGTAGAATTTAATGTGCATCACAAAAATCCATAATAAAAGTTGTTAGGTTGTCTCGAGAAACCCTTTAATTGATCATCTTGACATCAAAATATATGAATATATATAAAAATAATATTTTATAATATGCAAAATAATGTATCACGCAACACATTAAAAAAACGATTTCTAGCATGCGAAGTAGGGTATCTTGCATTTTCAAGATTTTCACGAATTCATAAATATACTTAAGTTGGACCATTATTGGTGTTTATAATTTTATAATTAACGATGAAAATAGATTATCAACCCATTCTAAAAACTTTTGATGTCAAAATTACAAAGGTACGCCTCAATTTTGTTTAAAGTTTCAGCCTTATGCAAATTACAACCTCCTGGAAATCCCCATCTAGGACTAATTTTAGAACTCTTAATTTCCAAGATATAACCTCTTCAACCTTGAGATTAACTTTGAAATAAAAAAAATTATAATTGCATCCTCTATGCACTTGAATAAATAATATGTCAAGTTCGAATAGGACCATTCAATTGTTAGAGGGTGAAATCTAAGCATTAGGCAACTCAAAATTCAACTTTTCTCATGAATATAATAGTGTATTTGATTTTGATGTACTCTAAAAAAACCAGATTAAAAATATTATCTCAAATAACTCTTATGACCAAGGGAGTAGATACACCGTGCTTAGGTGGGAGCATAGTGTATAAGCTCATGAATAAAATCTGCTCATTTCCCCCTGGATTATACACAAGGAAAATTGTTTCATGCGGTCTAGAGGTATAAACTATCAATCTTTATGATAGATGCAAATAGGTAGTCCATTTGAATAACTAATTATCCAAATGTTTTTCTAATATAATTATTATTTATAGTTTTAAAATTATTATTATTTTTATATGCATGATCTTCACGATTATATATTCTCTAAAAATTAAGATCAAATTATATTTAAAAAAACATTTTTATTGCCAAGCCCACATTTCTACGGGCTGGCCGCATAGAAACCATGTCCTTATACACAATCAATTGGAAGCATACACATCATGCGTATCGTCTCTTGTATGTCAAACCAATGTGAGGCCTTCCTCTTTCCCTCCAATTTTCCGCGCCAAAATAAATTTATTCGCCTTCTCTCTGCTTTTGCTACTCTCTCTTGTTGCAGAGCTCTTTCTCTCTGCTCCTGTGCCTCTCTCTCTCTCTCTCTCTCTCTCCAGATTTCGATATTTCCGATTTCCAGTGTTTGGCCCTGTTCACCATTACTGATGACGTCGCCTCGTCCGGCAGTAAGAATATCCAACCTAACTCCTCTGTTTATTTTCCATTACTCTTGTTCTTTCTCTGGCTTTTCACATAAGAATTTATCTTTCTTTCCCAATAACTAGCAAGCAGTGGTAACTGTCAACAATGATGGTAGTACTAAAGACTTAGTTCCAAGACTCTGCGATTTAGATCCTATTTTGCTTGTTACTTATCCTTAGTTTATTGGCTTTCGATGTGGTAGTGTTTTTAATTGTCTACAAGCTCTTGAAATGTCAGGGTTTCTGTTTTCTAAGCAGGAAAAAGAGAGCCAAGCACCAACAACTCAGAATATAAAAGGTACCAAGAGCTATGATTCTCTCTCTGATTTTATTTTTTTTGGGGGTCTGTTGTGGACTTACTGGGATTCCCTTTCGTTTGTTTTAGTCAATTTGATTCCCTTTATGTTGATTTATAGGAATTTGTATTCAATTCCCCTATTTCCCTATTATTCTTCAGTTCCCTCTTTGTCTTCATTTTATGTTATTTACTTCTGTAATTTTCTTTTTCCCTTTCCAAAGCTTAGTTACCTATTTGGGTGGTGCAGTAGTGGGCATTAGCGCTGATAATATCACTCATAGAGTTGTTTGGAAGATTGAGAAGTTCTCAAGCCTAGGCACCGAGAGACACTTCTCTGATGTATTCATAGTTAGAGGTTGCAAGTGGTTTGAATCTCATTCATTGCGTATAATCACAGATTCCAATCTTTTATCAATGAACTTGACATCTCAGTTTAGTGGTATTGGAAATTTTTGTTATTTTCTCTTTTCAATAGGTCATAGTTATAGCATATAATTTTAGATTCTTTGCTTTTACAGTATGAATTGGATATCTTAGTTTTGGGGTTCTGGAATTTATTTTTTTTTTCATTTTTTATTTTTGTAGTCTTATTCTCTTCATGGAGTTGTAGGTTTTAAAATTTCATCAATAAATTTGTTACCATAGCCAGTGGCAGATGAATTCTAATGTTGATTCTGGGTTTTATTTTTCCCTAAGCATGTATAGATTTGTTACGTGGTTTGGCATGGTTAAACTGTGTTATGGTTTTCCCATGAGTAATATTTTTGTGTTGTAATACTTTTACTGAGATTATATTTGACAAGATTTTGGGTTTTGTAGGAGGCTGGTAATATTGCCAAATGGGGGGAAGGCAGGCCATTTGTCCGTGTTCTTATATGTGGCGGATGGTGATAGTCTACCTATGGGGTGGAGGCGATATACAGAACTGTGCTTCTGTATCATAAGCCAGACTAATTTGGAACGCACGATCAGAAAATGTAATTTTGTTCCCTTTTGCAATTTTACATCTTAGATGTAAGATGTGTTCAGTGACATACTGTGAGAACTATGAAATTGGGCCATTTACTTAATAGAGTGTGGAGATTTCCATGCAAGGTTTGGTTATATGCATAGAAACATACTGTGAGAACTATTACATTGGCCCATTTACTGAATAGAGTGTGGAGATTTGCATGCAAGGTCTGGTTATATGCATAGAAATTAAAGTACTAAAAACAAATAAAACAGGATTTGTGTTACTGTTTAATCAATTAACAATTTTTAACTCCATCAATACACTTCATTGCGGGGTCAATATAATTGCTCAGTTCTCTCACCATACACTCACATGAGGTCTTGTGGAATGCTTTCTTATTTATGCAGGAAGATAGAGAGAAGCTAAATGATGCACTTTATTATAAGGCTAACTAGATTATTTTTACTACATAGATTGTAGGATTAGATGGGGTCATGAGTGCTAATGAGTGTAGAATGCCTTTTCCCTTACTACTGTTATTTCTTAGTTTTTATTTTTCCCAATTCGATAGAAGTGTAGTAGTGACTTCTTAGTTATTATTTTTCCTAATTAAAAAGAATTGCAGTGGTAACTTCTTAGTTTTTATTTTTCCTAATTAAAAAGAAGTATGGGGAGCAATAAATGGGCTTCCTAGAGGTCATACTTCCTAATACTGTTCTTGCATGATAAGCATGTTTAACTTTTCAGTTCTGATGGTTTTGCTGTCCTCTTAAAGGTATTATCGCCTTTAGTATGGCTTATACATATTACCTGATATTCAATGCTTATCAAAAAAAGCGTCATGCTACCAGTGTTTGTGCTAGTTCCCGCTTGGATTCTATCCCTTATCCCTGAATTGTTCCATTTTGTGTACTGCAATTAGATGTATTTTTCCAAGTTATATTTGATATATTTTAATTCTTTATTTGAAAATATTTAAGGGGCCGTCAGTTGGTGTGACGGTAAAAAGTTCAGGCAGCCAGTGCAAGAGTGCAGGTTCGAGTCCTGAGAGCGGCCACTTTGTGCATAAGCCAAAGGTTAAGACCGTTTCCAGCTCACCGCTCCCGGTACCTTGCTTAGGCAGGACCAGCACCGGGTTATGGCCCTTTTATTTGAAGATATTTGTCATGGTTTTAAAATTGGCATGGTTCAGTTAATAAATGGTTTGAAATATTCTAATTATGTGGTTTATTTTTGAATCAGATGAAGTACATGACTTTATGCATGGAGAAAGAGATTACGGCATTGTAAGATTTACCTCTTTCGGTCGTCTTAGGAATGGGCATATTATTAATGATACGATAGTTGTGGAGGTAGAGATGTATGTGCCTTATGTTGCCCATTGCTTGACAGACTGCACTGAAAATGAGACCATGCTCAAGAATGACATGGAGGTAACGTATTTTAATTTTTGTATTTTTCCTACCTGTTATAGAGTGAGAGTTTCAGCTTAGACTTGTGGGTAGACATCCTTTTATCTTTGCATTGAATGTTGTTTTTCTATCCAGTTGAAAAGAATTTTAAGCACATTTCTATTGTTCATTCAAATTTGGTTTGGAATTAGAAATGCTAAATTTGTGTAGGATAAACGGTTCTGTGTCTTGTACAATTTGTTGGCTAATATGCTGATTTCCATCACACTATATCCAAACAACCGAATCATAGTCACCTCCGATATTCATAAGAGCATATCCTTTAATTCGTCAAACCTCCAAATTGTAATGCCGTTGCCATCTACCAAAGGTGTCAAAAAATGGACCGGTGACTCAGGGTGCCTCTCTGATTTGGTTCAGTGATCCAATTTAACGAACCAGAAATTAAAAAAAAAAAAAAAAAGTTGGCCTGGTTTGAATCATTAAAAAATAAAATAAATTAAAAACAGTGGGGCCGGTTTTGACTAGTTCTTTGACAAAACCATCAGAGAACTGACCAGAACTGGCTGGAACACATTGAACCTTGAAGTGAGTAGGTCTGGGGATGATTTTGGGCAAGTGAAAGCATTCTGCAAGATCAGTGCAGACTGAAATTCTGGTCGAGGTAGAGGCGAAGACATTCCATGTTGGTATGTTGGGTTTTCTTGTCGTCACTGTTTACCGAGGTTTTAAAGGACTGACCTGGAACTTGGCATGATCCCGGGCTTAGTCTACTCATATAGAAACTATCAAACACTAGAGAACTTGCATCAGTCATGAAATCTTCAAGTAAGCTGTTTGATTAGTTGAGGTACATGCTCTATTGACTGGACTGGACTGAGACTCTATGTCGCTTCTTTGGCTGCACCACTTCTAGTAGATGGCAATTCACTTATTAATGTTAGGCCATGTGAATTAATTATCCTATTTGCCTATTAAACACTATGAGGTCTTATTGCTAATAGTACAGTTGGACATGCCTTTTGGGAGCAGTGTTTTGAAATTTGAATGCTCTGAGGGGAGTTACTCAGACTCTTAAGTAGTACACATTTAAAAAATGAAAAAGAAGAAAAAAAGAAAAAAAAAAAAACAACCAAAAAGATGAAAAAGAGAAGGAGAAGGGGGGACAGGTGTTTTGGCCATGTTCCCAGGTATATGGCCTCCCTTTGATCTCGTCTCCCCCCCCCCCCCACCTCCTCACTCTCTCTCTCATCTCTCCTCTCTCTCTCTCTCTCNCTCTCTCTCTCTCTCTCTCTCTCTCTCTCTCTCTCTCTCTCTCTCTCTCTCTCTCTCT